AGTATTCCTTGACATTGCGCACACCTGAGTTCCTGCTTTCCACTCAATTACACAGTTAGTTTGTCAGGGAGCACTTTAGGTCTGCTTAACATTCAGCATGCTACAATCTCACCTACGCTGAAGGTCCTTTACAGCACAAAGTACCTAACTAATTAACTTCAGTATTTATATTCTTTAAATGAGTGAGATGTACTGTCACTACATGTTAGCCAGTAAGAAAAATTGTTGCAATCAAAAATTAAATTTTAATTTCAAATCACTAACTCAAAGTGAAAGAACCATTGCACTACACGCTCTGTGCCTGATCTTCCACTGTTTGCAATCCTTACTCCTATGCAAAAAGGGAAAAACAATGTCCTCGACTCACTCAACAGCATTGAAAGATGTGACAATGCTGTAGCAGCTCAGTAAAGAACCAGATACACAAGTTCATCATAATCTGTCTTCACTGACACTAGAACTAAACAGAAGCCTTCAAGTAATTGGAAATATTAAACAGCTTCATTGTAAAATGCCAGAGGAAACGCAGCAGAGCTCCCATACATAAAACTAAATTAATGATTCATAAGGCTGCATAATTAACAATGCTAAGTCAAAAAATTATGTAGTTAAGGAAGCACATCCAGCCTTTCCTTGACCTCATATTCCACATGTGATTGCAATTAGATAGGTATGCACTGCTTCACAAACTATGCTGTCCAATAGGGTATGGCATGCTTTTGTATAATCTCAGATCTAGGTGGCATATCCCCTTGAGGAACAGCAAGTCCTTAGACTTCCATTTGTTACGACTTCAAAGCAATGCTGCTTGCAAAAGTCACATCACCAGTAAACAGCACCACCTGCAACATCATATAGAGAAATAACAGCGAGTTTTACTGCCTGTCCCCTGAGCCTTTTGACTCGAGTGTGAGTAGTGCCAGTGTACCTCGGATTCTGGTCTCAGACCTGACCCCTACTCAGTCTGCAGAAACCTCTCTTGGTTCTTTGGAAACAGGCTGTAGGAGCACAGACAGCAGGCCCTAGGAACTTGACTCTCAGTGACGCATATTGCAAAATATACAGAAATACTTCTAAGGCCATAGGTGCTTTACGAGGTCTTCCGTTCTGTTTCCAGCCCCACATGTCCCTGCTGCTTCAAAGCAGTGTCTTTCTCTAGTATCGTGTTGTATAGCTCAGGTGTTCACAGCAAATCCTCTTGACTGCATCCTTCCCAAGCTTTGAAGGAAGAAACAAAACCCTGAAGTGCATGCCGAGTACATGGTTTTCCAAGGCTCATAACTCAGTCAAATCAAAGCCAAAACTAAGACACTTCACAATTATGGCTATTTCAATGCCAAATTTTAGCACACAGGCCTCAGCCGCTCACACTGCAGAGCTGTTCAAAAGAAGGCAGCAAAAAGTCTTTACAGAGGGGAAAAATAGTTTTCCACTCTCCTCATACTCACACATGGATGAAATGTTTTTGCTCAAACTTTCCAAAAAATTCACCTTTGAGCAGAGTCCAAGGGCCTCATTTGAACAATTTTAAAACTTTCTGCAAAGAATAAATACTTTAATCATATAAAAAGGCATTGCTCAAGTACAAATTTGAGTGTGGGCAATTCTCCTGACATCAATTCCATTTCTTCCAATTTACATTGTCATGAGACCAGAATCAACCCCACTGCCTATGCAGAACCAATAAAAATGATTACTCCATTCTCCAGCAAAAAGTTATGGAAGACTGAAAAGAGAATGCTAATATATCCAGCAAGCATCATATACCTATAAGAACAGTGACAAAAATAACAGCTATAAAAGAGCAGACCAAAATGCCTAACCTTGGAAACTTCATACCAAAATCTTCATGCCACAAGATGCATGAAAAACAGTGACAAGGGAGAGCTTCAGAAGCATTTGAGGTGGAAGAGGACAATGGCTCTCCATCAGTCCTCCCCAGGCACAGGCAAATGGAGCTGGCCTTGGGATACAGCAGAGGTCCAGGACAAGTTGGTGACTTCAGCCAGGTGGAGATTTGGATCCTGTGGCAGCCCCAGTGCCAGCACAGCCCATGTTTTGCCCAGCTGATAGTTTAGGCATGGAATTATGCCAGAACTGCCTATGAATTGCATGAGTTTACTACCCTTTCATGATAATTCAATCTTATCTCAAAAAAAAGGTAAATACATGTCACACAGTAACGTCACTCAGTAATTTCTTTTAAAGAAGATAGTACGAAACAGCTATAACAGGTCAAGGGTTTAGACCTGAAGAAGCAGTGACTGAAGCATTCAGATACTGCACAGTGTTTGAAACAAGGCTATTGAGGGGTATTAATGAAGTGAAACTTGCTTATGCTGTTGAGATCGCTCTGCTTGTAAACAATGGGACCATGTCCATTTATCTTATTATTGCTTGATGGAGAAATAGGCAAGCAGGCATATAAAGAAAAGGGAAATGGAGCTCACTGATTTATTCCTTCTTCAAGGAAAGGACTGATTTTCCCATCTTTTACACACATATACACACACACACTTCCATTTAGTATCATCAGTATCGAAGCCACTGAGTTTTCTGCCACAGCTCCCAGACAGCATCATAAAGTAAGTCCCAATAAACATGACCACACACTTCCATTTAGTATCATCAGTATCGAAACCACTGAGTTTTCTGCCACAGCTCCTAGACAGCATCATAAAATAAGTCCCAATAAACATGACCAAAAAAAATCTTGCAGGAGTTTTGATATAAATGGGTCATTTTGTTTGTACCAGCTGAATTTCGGAAAAGAAAATCCCTTTCCTGATTTGTTAATCAAATGGTTCTCATATACAAGCGTCCCTCAAAAGTTGACTCCTCTTTGATTCAAATATTATTATTTTTTTGCACCTAAGTAAGGATTAAGGACATCTGTCATGGCACAAACATGTATTGGGTTGATTTAGCTAAATTCTCATTTTCCCTAACTGCTTTCTCTTCTCAATAAACAGCTTCTTGGTTTCAATACATTTACAAATTTGGGATTTATATTATTGGCTGTTTGGTACTCAGTCCTCCCCCTCATTCCCAAATTACTTGCCATGGTCATGTTCTGTTCTAGGAAACTTTCGTTTTCAGAACAAGAAATTTAACTATTTGATAAAAATGAATTCTCAAAACTTCCCATTTACAAACATATTTTTCTTTTTCCCTTCTGCTCTGTTTCATTTTGCTTTGGCTACAGATATATCGCACATATGCCTTTTATGGCCCTGTTACCGTATGCCTAAACAGTATAAATCTCTGTTGACTATTAGGATTTTCATCTCCTTAATTTTCACTCTACAGTCTTTTTCATTTTTCCCCTTAAAAAAAAAGAAAAAAAAAGAAATATTTCCTCCCCTAGAAGCCTGTATTGCTCTGCTATCCTTTAATCCAAGCACCCCCCAGAGGACTCTGGGCTTAATAATTATATTGGAGTCTCTATTATTTAGGATTCTGGGAGTACTTCCCACTCTATCTGGGGCCTCCTGTTCCTCTGAACAGACCTTTGCCAGCTAGGTCTGTATTTATATCTAACTAGTTCAAAGCCCAAGGACTTTGTCCCTCCCACCCATTGAGTTATAATCAGATGGCATGTCTTAAGTTTGACTCATTCAGTTCATGCATGCTTAGTTTCCAGAAAGAGTAAATGAAAAGTTTCCATTTAAAAGCTGTTCCTACAACAAATCCTAGTAATCACATGTTTCCAATGGCATTATAGATGTTAGAGATCACAATTAAAATGTCTAAAAGTAACCGCATAGCTCACATTTAAACGTGAGGAAAATTTGCATAAAGCAATCTTGAGAGTTGTGAACCCCACAATAAAGTTTGACATTGCTGAATGTTGTGCGCAAACACAAAACTCTTAACCTGTAAGAGTTCGTTTAAATAACAGTGGTGAATTAATTACAAATCCTTGTATTACTGTCATAGTTTATCTTATTTGGTTTTTTATTCTAAATAACCCATACTAAACTTAAACACTATGTCCGCCTTTATTGTGGGACATATTTAAAAATACTCAGAAATTCCTAGACTCCATTTTAAGAAGCCTGCTGAATGCCAGTCATATAAGAGAGCTCTTCTGGATGCTGAAGACTGTTGAACACCATGGACAGATTTCTCAGCCAGGTCTAAAACAAATTCTTACAAGCTTTCACGTAAGATGGGCACTCTGTTCTCAGATCACAATGCTATTAATCCAAGCCAACAAAGGATTTCCACTAGCATAACAGAAAACAGAACATAGGCTTCAATTCAGCTCAGAGAGAAGACATAAGAAAGAATCTCATTTTCCAGTTGGCTTGGGCTACTGACCCTACTTTTTTCCCAGTGCTCGAGCAACAGTAAGCCAGAGTAGTCACTTTTTTTCCTCTCTTCATTGGGCTAAAAGGGAAATAATTGAAGTGAAGCAGGAATTCAGCATATCTATGGGTCTCTTGTTTTCTTAAATGCTACATTCATTCTATCTGATTTTACTAAATCCTACAAGGATTTTATTACCCTCTTATAGCCCTGCTACAGAGCCAAGATGGCACCATTAAATCAGACTCCTTCTCCACAGCTTTCTTTTGAGCACTATTTAGATTTACAAAGAGGAGCAAAGAACAAGTGAACTGTAAACAAACATGTAACAATTAACTTTAGAAATATATGTACGAGTTCCTCTGCAACCACATAGTGTTTTTTCATCATACATACCACTCGAACAATTAACATTTCAGGGCTTTACTAACACAGCCTTGAACACAAAAGTCTCTAAATTGGAAAGGATATCTTTTCGAACAATTAACATTTCAGGGCTTTACTAACTAACACAGCCTTGAACACAGAAGTCTCTAAATTGGAAAGGATATCTTTCGAGTGGAGTGCAATAAAATGCAGATTTGGGGAGGCTGGGATTTGGCTTTTTTGAGGTGTTTGTTTGTTTTTACCTCCGCCATATCTAAAATATCCCATAATCAGATACAACAGTCTGTACACCAGTGACTTACCTCTTGCAGGCTGGCTATACTTTCCACATCTTCATCAGGTGGGTCGCTCTTTCGTCTTTTACGAAATCCGCAACAAATGAGCTTCCTGAAGGAGAATTTCCGTATCTGTTTGAAAACAACAGAAAGGCAGTCTTGAAATGCAGATAGCAGTACATTTACTTTTAAAATCCATAATATTTCTCTCTCTTTTGTGAAACGCAACAATTTAATAGGACCATTGCACAGATAAAGAAGATGCTTAATTATGTTCATTAGATGCAGTGCCAGCCAAGCCCCCTTCCTAGCCCACTTGAATTTCTGTTTTCTCTGCGTTGCATTAAGAAGCAAAGTAGTTTTGGCAGAAAATAAACCCCCTTGCATTCTAACACTCCTCACCGAGGTGGGAGGCTTGTAGCGTATGAAGGCACGGACCCTGGTTGGTGATACAACCAGAATCCTTTATTATAACCAACATGCAGTTTATATAGTACCAGTGTCTATTCTTTTCCAACGGACACTCCCCTGCAACCCCCAACCGACAGGCGGGTGGGATTCCCCTCCATCAGTCAGGGGGCCAGACATTGTTTACAGGTCTGGAGATGCTCATGGGCCATCTTCTGCCATTGTTCCTGCTTCTTCTCCTGGTCTCTGCTTCTTCCACAATCTTGTTAACCCCTTGTTCTCCCACAGAGGCTAGGTGTGGCTAGGTTTAAATTCTGAGTGATGCCCAATTCACCACTATTAGTCCAGTCATGTTTAATATATTAAAATATCACGATTCTGGATACACTAATAGTGGACTGCACCTTCAGTCTAGTCATGCTCATGTACTAGCACGGCCACTGTCAAATCTTTGGTTACATTCAACGCGAAACTGAAACGACTAGCTACGTAAGTAATGCAGGTTATTCAAGCAACAGATATAAACGTTCTTATTGATTGTCAGTGATAAATACACAGTCTGCAAAGCACATGCAAATAAAAATATTGTTAATAGTAGAAAACATGCAACAAAGTTAGAAACAGTACAGCCTGGCTATAAACGTAGAAAACTAACTAGGCGCATTTCCCGAGGAAGCACTAGGTATAGTCTGAGTCTTACCCAAACGTGTCCTTACAGGGGGGGAGAGAGGCTCAACCCATCGACTGGTCCAAGAAGTCAAAGGCAATGTGTGATGGAGTCCTCCTTGACTTGTTCACGATGGTGTCTTCACTACTATCCCCCCCTTCTTGGGCTATTTTTATACTATTTTTTACCTCCAAGGTGGAGTTTGAGTGACTCTAGTCATAAATACCTTTATTATGATTGGTGTAAAATTCTCTCGTTTCGCATTTAAAGGTATAGTTTATGAAAAATTCAGGGTGCAGAATCAAGGTGGAGTGGTTGCACCTTGGAGGTGGGTAGCCTTTGGGATGGAGGTATGTTTTGGTATTATACTGACATTCTAATGAGCCCAGTTCACACAAAAGTCCGCATTTTATCAAAATTTGACAGACTGTTGGCTCAGGGTAGCAAATATATAGCTTATCAGTTCCATAGGGCCATCTTGTTCCCAAACCGTTGTGTGGAATCATCACTGCAGCCTCGATGGTGTTTCACAAGCAATATTGTTCAGGGAATCATGGATGGAGCAGATTCCTCCCATACCAGCTGCTGCTGTATTCCACCCTGGAAACGTTTCGATTTTATACCTTTCCCAGCATCTTCAGCTAAAGAGAAATTCCTCTTACTGCTTGGGCTCTTGCTACTTGGCTGCTGCTGTAGTCAATATATCACTTCCTTGAAGAAGTGCTGCTAGTGACCTCAGTGGATTCACTTGCAAGGGAGAGGTGACAGGATTAGAACCACAGGCTGTAAACACTTCAGTACCCGCTGGGATTCGGTTGCTTATTATTATTGGCGCATTGTGCTCAGACAGCAAAGACATTCATTTAAGGATACTAGTTTCTATTTGCAGCCCTATGACATCTATTTTTATTAGAACTTATTTAAAGACAACATTATCAACCCAGAAACAAAGGACAGGAAGGAGATGGATGTCCACAATGCTTAAGACTCTAGACAATGACAGGAAACAGCCCGTGTTTTGACAGTTCCCCCAGTTCTCTTCCAGATGATCTTTACTGAAGAATTAGACAAAGTCCAAAAAGCAAAATAAAAACATAAACAAAACTCTGTGAAGGGGAAATCCTCATGTATTCAGATCCCAGCAGAGTGGAAAATTTTAGAGACGATCCATGTCTAGAACACTATGGTAGAAAAAAAGTTGTTTATATAAAAGCAGGAATGGAACAGCAACATGACAGCAACAAGATGTAAGAACAACACATTAGCCCATGTTCCAGTGGGAGGAATCCCGTTGTCTACCTCCAAGCAAAATTACAAAAAACAAAATAATCTAGTGTTTTTTGTGATGGGTATATTAACAAGATACTTGGCTTCAGTATTTTCAAAGTACCCACCACAGTGACAGCTGAACAAAGTACATGAATCTTTTATGTATATAAAGCCCCACATGCAATCCACTTCTGAGACCTCCACAAGCTCAGAGAAGAAATATCCTTTTGCTTATATATGCCTCCATAATAATTAATACGTGAACATAAAGCCCCAGCTGTATTAGAGAAAAGTTTAGAAAACCTACTAACAAGCAAGCCAGACTGTAGATCAGTCTTGTGCTGTTCTGAACAAGCATCCAGCTTACCGTCAATGGAGCATTACTTAGCAAACTTAAACCCTATCCATTGTATCAGGATGATATTACTAAAGACATATTTTGAAGTTTTTACATAGACAAAAATCTAGCTGAAGTCAAACATACTTTCTCCTCAGTAAAAACTAAGTAAGAACTTCAAACTTGGCCAAGGTTGAACACTGTAATACAAAAGTTCAAGCAGAAGCCAACTGTTTTGTTCTCCAGAGATCAGTTGGAAACACACCAATAAACAGGATGGAAGATACTATTTTCAAGGGAGTATTATAAACAGCAAATTAATTGTGCAGTATGTTACTATGCTCAGGGAGATGAACTGGATTGGAAATCAAAACCTAGAGCAGATAATGAATAATTATGCAGTTATATTAAAAAACACTAACACATACAAGTCAAAGGAATATGAAATACTTTCACTTTGGGTTATAAGATGAGCACTGAGAGGATCCATGGAGGAGCTTTTCCTACAAGTTACCCCATAGTTGTCCACAACTGAACTATATCTGCACTACATAAGCAATTTGTCAATCTTAGTATGGCCACAGCTGCCTTTGACGTTACAGGCATTTTGCAGCATCCCCAAAGAATGAGCTAAAACATACAGTCTCTCATCCATAAATAATTTCTTATCTGAGATTGCTTTGCTAGAGAGGACTATTCAAACTGCAAGGCAATTATTTAGTAATACTGCCAGCAAGAATACCAGAAAGTGTCAAATGCAATAAATGAGTTTATAAAATGGTCACAAGTGCACTGAGGACTGGAATAAACTAACCGATGCGTTTTCCATCCAGCACCAGACAGCATCAGGTGGCAGTGTGTTTCGGTCATTATGGGTTTATCCTGGATTAAACCTGCACCAAGAAGTTAAATGAAACTCTATCTTCCTTTTCTCCCAAATATGTGTCAATTATTCTTCATAAATTGTTTTCTTAACCTTTCTATTGCAAAGCAAAAAGAAAGCAAAGAAGCCATAGCCTTATTATCTGAAGAGAAAAAGAAAAGAGAATTTAAGTTTACTGCAAACCAGGACCAGACGTGCATTTATCACCATAACTTGATGTGATGTGCCAGTTGATAATTTGGCGCCCACTTAAGAGAAGGAATTCTGCTTATTTTTTGTTCCACTAGCTAGTCCAAAACCAAGTGCAAAGTTGCACAATCCCTCCAACTTTGTTGGAGACGCAATAATCAGAACCAAGATTCACAGAAGACTGAAGGGGGAAAAAAAATATCCCAGTCCTCTTTTCTGGATAAGTGGATATGTGCTAAAAAGCAAGAGTTTGGTAGAGAAAAACAATGCTCTTTTGCTTTCCCAGGCAGGTTTCTTGCTCTTCCAAGCGAACTCCAAACTTCATGTATTTCTTTCCCTCCCTCCCTCCCCCAGCCCTTGATGATAGTATTTGGCAGGAACTTTTAATTAAAAAAAAGTCCAGACTGCCTTTGTGCTACCCCAGCAAACCTCTCTGGGGAAATGATGTTCTTTGCTCAGCAATTCCTGTTCAGCACAGAGTGCCAACACGAGGAAAACAGCTGGAATGACTTCCTATTCTCCATTCAGGCCTGGCAGCCTAGGAACAAATCCTTACAAAAAGAAAGAGAGGCTGAAATTAACAAAGAATCATTGACAAAGAAACGCAGGGTGACTTGTAAGATGTTATTTTCAGCTCATTTTTAAAAACGACTACATTCAGTCTCTCACAATAACACAGAACCCACTAACAATTTGATCCAGCTACCACCAAAGCTGTATCAAGTGGCAACCAGAACAACAGCTTTAACAAAGAAAGCGGATCCCTTGTAAAGGCTTCGCAGCAATGACCTGGGCAACGGGCTTGAGCAGCACTTGCTACAACACTCTGAACCTGGACACTGCCTCCAACCCTAACAAACAGCTAATGTAATGCAAAGCCACAGATATACATTCTATATCATCACCCAATGAATATGCTGAGGCTCAAGTATATGTATTATAGGCCAGACGTGTCCTAAAACTAGCGATCCAGGCAGCAATCTTGCCATACATTGTGATTTTATCTCATTTAGCATTTTCCTAGAAAAACCTCCCTCCTGTTTACTCCCTTGCCTTGAAAAGTCTTGCCTTTCATTTACATACAATTAATTTTCTATATTCCAACATCTCAATATGGCTTCCCCAATAACTCCTTTAACACCTAAAAAAGGAAGATAAAGGAAACATTATTACTTTTTAAGTCTTGTGGCTATGTGACCCTCATATTGGGGAGAGAGGAGCTTCTCAGATGGGATTGATAATTACGTGGCTGTAATCCTAACAGCTGTCATTGAGACACATAAGGATATTGTTCAGTTTAATCTGAACATCAAGAGATTTACTTTAAATCCCTTTCTACTCTGTAGAAAAGCAATATTGACTAAGCAGCTATCACCACA